AATATTTTCTAAAATTATAATAACAATCTGTTTGAATGATATCTCCTCTTTTTGATCCTCGCACGCTCCCAATATTATGACGTAGATTTATACTTTTGCACACCGGGTAACTTTTCTGCCAAGGCGCAATCGCGTGTTAGATAGTGCCGCATAAAATCTACGTTAACGCGGATAAATCTCGTTGGGAATTCTCGTTTTGACTACGAAGGAAGCGAATAGTTTGGGAGAAAGGGGGAAGAGGGTCAACTACGTTATAAGGAGACACTTTTGATCGAGTATCCCCTCGAAACTACTTCGTAGAGTCGTTGAAAGCCTCCACAATCGGCCGCGAATGTGCAGGTACACCCGGTACGTTACACACACACACATGCACACACATACGCAAACACACACCTATATAGAAACAATATATATTATTTCACAACACGTTGAATGCAACAGGACTCTACTTCAGAGATCTTACGCCCGAATCTCCCGACAAGCGAGAATCCGACAAAGAATGGGGATGGTGAGTAGAAATGCAACCTGGGAAGAGATTTGTGGATAAGTTCATATTTATTATTTAACTCGGACTATTTTGAGATTGTTTTCGCGCGATGTTCATTATCGATTGACGAGAGATTTCTTCTTCTTTTTTTTTTTTTAATTCCTATATTAATACTCCGATATTTTTTATTACTCCGCTTGAAGGATTGATGTAAAAGCTTGAATTCACAGATTGTGTACTCTGTCGCATAATTCGCATGTATTTTGTCGCATGTATTTTGACAATACATGATATTAATTTGATTGATGTTTCACGATTAAAATTTAATTAGGATAATTATAGCTCAGTTTTTTATATTACATCTGTGTTAATTCTGATCTCAGCATAAATAAATTATAAATCAGTGCTATAATTCGAAATACATACGCGATTAATGATCGAGGAATGGAAAAAGGAAACATTTACCGTTTCCATGTCTTGCGACTACAGTTTTCTGATTTTTATCTAAGTATTCGCTGACGCGTGCATTCGTAAAGTTCAATCATAAAATTTACCCGACGTAAAACGTTTTTGTTACTCGACCGGCGTCATTTGTTGTGTGACATAGTGACGTCGAGTGCACGGCGATCGTTAACGAATAACTCGTGTGTTTTATGGCTGGACCGTTAGACGATCGTCTTCCTTTAAGATTTAAGAGATACTTGGCGAACGGAATCGACGGAAGCAACGATCGTGCCCTCCTTCATTGTCGCAGCTCTTTCCCGCGACGCTCGCGAATTTTCGCGTCGCTCGAGCGATGCTTTTAAATTTTATGAACGTGGCTCCTCGCGCTGCCACGTTGTATTAAATGGATGTTTACGGAATCGGAATATGTAATCATCATCATCATCCGCAACGTTTCTCACCGATGAATCGTATGTCCTCAACAGAGACCTTTATGTCTCTTTATGTGCCTCATCTTGCGCCGATTATAATAACACTTGTTTTGTCAATAATGAAGTTGGATTTTGCCAAGAGTAAGGTTGTAGAACGGTTTTAGAACAATAATTATTAATGTTGATCGTGCCGATACTCTACTGATATCTCATGATACAATAAATTAGAAGTGCTGATGACTAATTGTCATCACAATGATAGTTATGATTTTATTGTTTGCATTTGATGAAAACAAGAGATTACCCTTTGATTGATTTTTCTCGCTACTTACAAAAAGTAGTCTTGATTGATATATTTACAAGGTATATTCTTTTCGTGAGTATACATTTGATTAGAGTTCTTAGCGTCTTGTTTTCTTGTCGACAAAAATAGACGCGCGCACTTATTGAATGCTAATTATGCACGTATAATTAGACAAGTATGATAAAACGTGATCTATCCTAGATTTTTCTATCTTTGATTCTTTGTTCAAGTTTGCTTTTGTGAAAACGCGATGTTATGGATCCGAGTATGCTATATTCGTGTTGTTAATTATCCCTCATAATTTATCGAGAAACTTTAAATGTATTCTGGTACATGTCGAAAAACTTGCGGGACATCCATTAGAGTAATGTAGATTTATAGGAGAGAAAGAGAAGGAGAGAGAGAGAGAGAGAGAGAGAGAGAGAGATTTTATATATATATATATATATATATATATATATATATATATATATATATATATAGTATATATAGTATATATATATATAAGTAAGTAATAATAATAAGTAATAATAATAATAATAATGTATATATATATATATATATATATATTACATATATTAAAATATATTATTTATTTTGAATACCTCATATATATTTTGTAAATGTTTTTAGTATAATTGATAAATGCATTTATTTATAATTGATAAGTGCATTCGTCATCTTGATTAATTTCACTATACTTTAATTACTATTAATGTTTTACGTTTTATTGCACTTCTTTTTTGAATCGTATGAAATCTATTAGGTATTAAAATCGTTATATATTTATACGTGCTCTAAATCCTCTACTTTCCTCTACTAAAAATCTGCTTTATAACGTTGTCGTATATTTCAAAATATCTCGCGATATTCACCTGGCGATACTATGAACAATGGCTTGTTTATCCCTTGCATCTTTTACCCTTTAGGACGAAAGTGGCGCGAGTGGCGAGCGGATAACGGAATTTAACGACCTAGCAGGTTGATTTATTGGCATCGATTTATTATGGCATGGGGGATAAGAGACGCGAGAATACATGCGAGATAAGAAGTTGAAAGAATAATATCGCGTTGATCAATCTCTTCTTGATATCGAATCTTTTGGCTAAAGGATAATTGCCTATTTAACTGATTATTTACAATGTAGTCATTAAACTTAATAATTTATCGTTTGTTTTAAGAAATATTATTCGAATATTTATTATTATTATTGTAGAAAAACTTAGGAAATTTACGTAAGATAAAGCAATCATCGACAAACAATCAAAATTGTGCTTTGAGCAATGCTTATACAGCGTTATTATTATTCATTCTTATAAAAGTTCTAATTTTCTAATTATTTAATTATTATATTTATATTTGATTACGTTATTAAATTATTTTTTACATCGTCGTATTTGTGTAATTTCAAAAGATTTATTTAAATATATTTATACCAATATACATATATAAAAACAAAAATTCTCCAAGTGAATTTCTTTTATGAAAAACAACGGTTATAAATCATGTATGGAGGCTAAACAGAAAATCTCACTGTGAATAGAACTCGTAAACTAACGACGCAAAAAAAAAAAAAGACAACACGCAAAAAATTGCTTCTTTTATTTATGCTGAACATCGATTTATTTCGATTCGAACGTGACTTGTTAGCTCTAGTTGAACTCTAGCGTTTCGACCAAAGTGACAATGTAGTAATCACTCGTTTCTGTAAGATTCCCAATGTTCCAATCCTATTGTTCAGGAAGATACATGGATTTGAGGTTTGCAAATTCCATTACTGAAAATCGGATTGAGGATGCTTTCATAGAAAGGATTTACGGGATAGAGAACGAAAGTGATGGCGAAGTGTGCGCATTTACAATCTCATCTCGAATATCTCGCAATAAATATACATTGCTACTTTACATTCATTTTTTAATGATTATGCTGAAGATAAGAATAGGAATACGAACGCAAAAGTATTTGTGGGCTAAACGAGCTAAACGATCATAAGCTCTTTCTGTGATGAGATTTTCAGTTATTTTTAAGAATTAATATTTACTTGGCTAGAAATTTGGCTAGAAATTTGCTGTATTTGTGACTTTTCGTTTGTCAGTTATCTTAATTCTGCTTACGTAGTATTATGAAAATTATATCTTCAATCCTATTACCTTCCCCTACCTATTACAACCCTCAAAGGGTACAGTCAGGTTAATATTTAATGATACAATCCTAAAATTCCTAAAATTAAATAAAATTCCTTTCGGTAGTCAAAAAATTTCCAGATTTTTTTTTAAATGTCTGTTTTCATTTTGGCCAATAATATATTATATCCATGCTTTTTCGTTTCTCTCTTTGAAGACTATATTTTTTTATTATACGAAAAGAGTGAAAAAAGTGCAGCTAATACAAAAGACCCATTTCTGCACACAGGAAACATATACTATTTCATGCCGTTTTATCGAACATCTGCATGCTACAAACGTTGAGAAGTGGCATAGGTGCAAGCAAAATGGTGTATTTCGGTAGCGTTGAACATTTTCAAATAAATCTTTCTAATATCAATTATCGATGAAATCGATATATGATTGTGAAATCGAAATTTGTATTATATCCTGATCGATGATCGAATCGTTCAAGGAATCGCAAAAGTTTTAAGATTTTTTTTCTATTAATATTTTTCCCGCCTTTTATATCAAGAGAACATTGTTCCTGTGTTCCATGTTTGAAAATCGTTCTTGTTACGTAGATTGCGTGTCCAATTAAAAAATTGTATTTGATGACAAGTGATAGATTTGATTGGGATCGAGGTGATATCGTTTCCTGTTGCGTCTGCGAGTTTCACTCGGGGGTTTAAAGGTCAACGCTACTCGATTAATAAATCTATACCCGAGGTCGAAAAACACGATATCACCTATGCTCGATATCCCGCACGAATGGCACAAGCCGTTTCTCGCTTTCGTCGGCATTTGATAACATATCGGGTCAACCTCTATCGACGTTATTGATCCGCGAGATCGCTATTTAAAGATATATGATACTTTATTCACAATGGCTTCTGTTTACGGTGCGTTTAATGTGCAGCCGAAAGTTTTGCATTATACATCACATGATTTTCATACACGTACATATACGAGCTTGAATTTAATTACGATGACATTATTGACTTGGAAAATAACCACTCGCGTAAAAATAATTCATATGCAAAATTTCCACTTTACATTTTTATGCCCCGCAATTGTATTTTTTGTCCGCCTATATTTACAAATATCACACAAAAAACTTCCCCGAGCACGAGATAATATAAACGTAAAACGAGAAATATTTCCGACCAAAAAAAAAAAAAAGTAGTCGAAGAGTCGAAGATTCATGAGAGAGTCAAAATTTCCGATCGAAAACCGGAGAGAGATAGCAATTCTAATTATAAAATTGATCAATCGATTTTTTTTTTCTCGTAGTACGCATTTTATTTACAGTTATAGCGTGCAGTTATCATTTGTTCGCGCACACGTTTTTATTACGCCTATCTATAACAATATGTTGTTAAATATGTAAACACAGAGGTTCAGCAAAATTGAAACTGATTGCAACGGGTATTTTATAACATCCTCTCTCCACTTTCAGGTTATGCAAAAGTCATGTCGTTGTGGATTCATGTACGGGGAGCTAACGGACAAGGAAACGATCGCCAGGATCGAGGAGTGCCTCGAGGGTCAGATTCACGATCAATTCGAGATTCTGCTATACAAGAAGACCAGTAAGTCGTTATCCTTAAACAAATCGCTGCATGCGAGAGCTTAAATGTGACGTGCGTGACTTTTTACGAGTATCGATGGTTCTCAATGTAGCGTCCTCGGCTGGCATTTAATTTTTTAACGAAAAGGAAGAACGCAACGAGAAAACCTTACAGAGAAAACTTTAAAGCTTTAAATACTTAGAACTTTTTCAATCTCAAAACAATCTAAATTGTCCATTAATACGTTTATCTCGCCGATGGATACGTTTCTTCTTAAATAAAAAATAAGAAACTGTGAAATTTCACGAGGGTTATTTATCACGGAGGGGCGATTGGGGAAGATTATTAAATTATTTACTTTCGGCTCACATAAAACTGGACGGGTTATTACAGTTGCGTTATTATTACGGAGGGGGGCAGGGTGCAAGTTTCGATTTTGACGAAATTCACGCGCGCCCCCCCCCTCAGCGAAACCCCACTCGGCGGCGAGTACGTTTTTCTTCGTGCGTTTTTTCGTCACGCGGGGTATTAATTGGCATAGCAATGCAAGAAGGTGGTTAGGAAAGGGGAGAAAAACTACCCGCGGAATCTCGACCGCGGGAGTTATCGCGCGAAATTTGCATGCGCGTGTTTATCGGGCCGGCATCTAGTTTCCTATTGCGCCACCCTGCACTTTATGCATCGTGCATCGTGCGGAAACGTTAGAGGTACCCGGCAATCAGCCGGGTCTATGTATTTAATGGAAAACAAAACGCCGCTTAGCGTATCGGGAACCGACGTTTTGCCGGTGGTAACGGTAACCGTTGCGTTAATCGGGAATACTAGGCAATCACTGCGGAAAACGTGCGATTTACGACTTTTTTTCACGATTTTGTGCGATCAGCACATTGACAAATTGACACTAGTTGCGCTACTTGCTCTTTCTCTTGAAATTTAAGAAAACAAGAGGCTCTATAATTTTGCAAGAAATGTTGATTGTGAATCGTGAAAATCGAGTTAACAAGTGCTATAAGTTTTATAAATTATATTAGACTTATTGCTGAAAAATGTGATGTGTGTAGTATAAATGGAATGTGACCGGTAATATGTTTAACGTAAGTTAAATCGTTAAAAGTTTAACGTATTAACAATTTTTAGTGGGATATTTAATCGAAAGAAATTTGTGAAACATGGCCGGGGCGGGCATCACCGGTAGAGGGTACGATGTATGCGATAACAATTGCTAGTAGTAGCGAAACCGTCGATTTCCCCGTTTTGCGAAAACGCCTCGAGGCACGAGATGTATAACTGCGCATGTGCAACATTTGATGGAACATCGAAACGTAACAATCTGCAATATAACGACTGGCGAGTTTCGTGTTTCGCGTTGGCCGTTTCTCCCATCGCGTGATGCATCACTTTTTTCAAATATTCGCGATGCTATCTCACTTTAAACTCCTGAAAACCTCCTGAAAGATATTTTCTTGATGAAGGAAAAAACATCCTCCCTCAATGCACGATGTATTAAGGGTAATAACGAAAGATCGTTCTGTTTAAAGGTAGCCCAAGAGGTATGTCTAGCACAGATTCGCAAAAGCGTGCTCGCAAATGCCAGTAAGTCACCCCACGAATCTAAAATGTACGCAAAAGACATCCATATATACGACATGATATATCTATCACATCGGTGACAAGCTTAAATGAGCATTGAAGCTCGAATTGATTAATTTAATTAATTCGAAACCTCTAACTTCTGACAGTTTAGTACATAAAAAAAAACGAATTAGATCGCTATTGTATTGAATCCTCTTCATTGCACACACCGATAACACCGATAACAAACGTATTCGAAAGAACTTACTAGAATGATCATTAGTATCTTGCAGCAATGTAAGGCTTTTTTGACTTTTTTTTTTTTAGAATACTCACATTATGGAAAATAGCCACATTCCCTTTCTAATCGGAGCTAGAACGGAAAAATTATGGCCTCGCAATAGCGCCATTTACCAATGGTTGTAAAAATAGATCGCGAACATTATTTTTGCGTCGCTCGTTTGGCGAGTCTAAGTATCTTTTTGTCGGAAAGCCTCAACCGACAGCCCTTATCGTCGGAAGGGACGCGGAGATAGATGCGATAGACGCTCATTTCTCTCTTCGAGGAGACAAGGAGAGTCACCTTGAGGATTATCAGTTCACGAGGCTGATTAACTTAGGGATGAACGCTAAGCATCGTAAAAGGCAAATTAATTATGC